GACGGATTCTTCTCCGATAAATCTGCCCCCGGAGCATCGGTCAACCCCCTTCGAAATCCGGTTTTTGAGCCGGCTTATTATTTTTCATTTATCCCAGCTTCTCTTTCTATTTTTTTTTTCTTTCTTTTTTTTTATTACACTATCTCTTCTGCCCTTCTCATTCGTACAGACAGGTCTGCCGGTGCTCATTTTTCTCTCTGTTATTTCTCGAGCGTCGCTCTTCACCTGAATTCCACGAGTCCGCCCGAAGTCCGACTGCCACCGGGACCAATCGGAAGATCAAGCTTGTAAAAAGATAGTCAGTCACCTTCGTTAGGTTAGAAATAAAAATGAAAGGCAGTCGACGCAATTCACTTGGTCGGCCGAACAATGCACTAGGGTGACAAAGCGAACAAAACGGCGGATGGGGATGAAGAGGAAGAAGAAAAAATATATATATATCTGGGCTGAGTTCTTCGTATACCGGAACTCGAGGCTGGGCTAGGTCGACCGAATTGGCTTGTGACAAAATTTTGTTGGAAACATTAAAAAAAAAAAGAGAGAGTGATGAAAGGACAAAGCAACAAGTGTCTTTCTCTTGGACTCTCCTCGTTCATCTTCTTTCTCTACGATCTTCCGTCGCAGTTTTATTTTTCTCTCCGTCTCTTTACTCATTTCTTTTTTTTTTCTTTCTTTTTTCCCTCCCCTCCATCTCTCAACCTCTCGCTCTACCGGCACGCCGTTGGCCGATGGATTTTTTTCTTCTTCTTTCCAAAGGTCCCTCTGTGTGTCCTAACCTAACCTCACTGTCAGACCCAACCCATCTTCTCGAACCGCGACAACTCGACATTGATTATCGACTCCACTACCCTTCGGTGCTTTCTTTTCGTTTCGACCTTCTGACCCCTCCCTTTCCCCACCCCACCCCCCTCCTTTTTTCCAACCACTCTGTTTCTCCATTCTTTAACAGTTTTCTCGTGCCTATTCTTCGTGTTCATACTGCGTGTCATTATCTTTTTTTTTCTTCTTTTTCTTTTCTATTTCCTCTCTTTCGTTCCTCCTCTGCAAGTAAGCACTGGTTTCTTGCCCGTCCATTCCCTACCCTCTCTGTCTCTCTCGCTCGATCTTCCTTAACTTCTTGCTCTATCTCTGTCTCTCGGATTCTTATTCTAATAATAATAATTCTGGCGTTACACTAGCGCTCTTCAATTCATTACGTATACACAGCCATAAGAAAGAATTTAAAAAAATTTTTTTTTTAACGATTATGTATTTTGTAGTATTTTTTTTGTTTATTTTTTTTTCTCGTATGACATAACCAATTACGTTGCTTCCTATTGACGTTATCTTTGTTACCATTTTTTGGGATTTTTCTATATTCCATATTTTTCGTTTAATTATATCGATTGATTATTTTCATTGGCTAATATTTTGCCTGTGTTTTCAGTTCTCTTTGCGCATGTCTATCTTATAGGTTAATTCGATTTTAGCGTACGAATATATATATATATATATATATATATATATATATGTGTTCGTATTTTGAGATGGGACGAGTGTGATCTTATCGTTCGAGATAGCTCGATCGCTATTTTCACCTTGTATTTTCTTTGCATGATAATTTGCAAAAAGAAAAACTGCGCTTTTCACAAGAAGATCGATCGCCGCTTAAATAAAGTCACGCTCGACGCTCGTCCATCTTAACACGTTTATTACATTAATAAAGTTTCTTACGAGTTTTTCCAGGGAAAGCTTCCATGTGGCAGTGTTGTGCCATGCACAAACTTTCTAATTATAAAAAACAATAACAATGCAGAGTTCGCACTCGCCGGAACACCGTGGCTGAGAAAAAGAAAGAAAGAAAAAAAAAGAAAAAAGAAAGCAAAAAGGAAAATCGAAATTTCTCCATCAGCCGTTGAACGAAGTCAACAATCAAAAATATTTCGTTCGATGACTGCGAACTCTTTTTTTTCTTTCCAGACTAATAATTATTCTTATGCTTTCAGTATGTTTGATTGAGATTTGGAAAACAAATTTGAGATTTCCTATAAAATCAAAATTCCATCCCACCCGTCAAACAGTCATTTTCTCCCTCTGTCAGGCATAGCCATATTAAAGTGACGCGAAACAAGGAATAGTCGTGCCACCAAAAGAGGACAAGCTCCGTCAATAACAATAAAGTGATAAATGAAAGTTCGGTGAAAAATGTTGAAAAAATTTTTTTTAGTACAAGGCGATGCTCGTCAAATTTGGAACAATTTTTTTTTTTTTTTTTTTTATTACAACCAGCATTAGATTCGCTAAAAGGCAGCCATTAAGGTTCATTTTTCTTTTCGCACACCATTTATCGCTCACGACTATTCTCACTGTTATCGTCGGACTTTTATTTTTATTTTTATCATTTTTTTTTTTTTTTTTAATCAACTACCTCAACCACCCCTCCTCGCCCCTCCCTGCCCCTCCCGGGAATCTCGATTATTTCAAGAGCCACCATGAATTTATATGACATACTTTTATATATATAATAAATCTTAACGCACATGCTTGAGAATGCCACTTACGCTGTGCACTTGTTTTTTTTGTCTGTTCTATGTATTGTTTTCTTTCTACTACACTACTACTGCTACTACTACTATCTCTGCTACTACCACCAACCACCAACCACCAACCACCATCACTATCAACCATCACCATCACCACTACTACTACTACTGATACCAACCATCATCACCCGAAACCGAAAACCTCACCAACCATGAACGAAACAAAAAATGGCCGCATTGACGCTGCTCTCACATTGTTGGTACTTCTGTCCTTTTACTTACGTCCTGCCGTCGCCTTCGACTAATCGACCATCCGCCATGATAACCCATGGTGTAACCCATGGTAATCCGACGGTCCGGTCCGATACGACCACCACCCCACTGCCACCGCGTATGGTGAGTTAATTATTTTTATTTTATTTTTCAAATTTTAAAATACAACCTTCCACGAGGGACACGACGCCGTAGCTCTTCAAGACCAACACGAGTATCGGGATCCGATTACGTCACTATTAGGATTTTATCGATGCATTGGAAATTTAAAAAGAAAAAAATTTTTTTTTTGCCTTCCATACCTTTTTACGGATCCTTCACTCGTTGCCGTCTTAAGCGAGCTCGGTGTCTGTCTTGGAAATATTAAATAAATGTTAGCTCGGTAGAAATTCACGCAAGTCGCAATGGCGTCTTTTCGATTGGTCAGTGAAAATTTATTGTAATTTTGAAGGGAAAAAAAAAAAAAAAAAAAAAAAATTGGCATCAACTTTTTTTTTTTAACAAATTAAGCCATGAGAGACATAACCTTATCTGGAAACGTAACGAGATAACCTTCGCTCGCCGAGGACGCATAATTCCCGGATAAAGTTTTACGGTTAACCCTCGCGGGCGAATCCCCGTGGTAGCTCGACATGAAAATGCCTTGAAGGAACGCGAAGGCTGATAACGATTGCAATCGTTCCACGTTGAAGACGCGTAACAGAGTCGCGCATCCGCAGGCAAAATTCTCAAATTTTAGTGCAATTTTTGAAAAGCACAAAGACGACCATTGCGACCAGTACAAGAAAAATATTCGTACAGATACTAAGTGTCTAGAAGAAAAA